TCTAGTTTTGAAAAAAGATTTGTGTATAGGGTATGATAGTGGGAAAAATGAATGCTTCTTGTCATCTGGAGTCAATTTTAACTTGAATCATTAATATTTGGGGTCAGACTGCCTCTAGTCTTTTACAAGTGCACAGGAGATAGGAGAACACAACTAGCCTTTCTTCCATCTTCCACACAAAAGCCACAAATCATCACAGTCTCCAAAGGTGTCTATGCAACCACCAGCTTACAAGGCAGACTGTGCAGTGGGACTATGCTCAAAAAGCCCCATCCCTGGACTCTGCAGCTTGCATGTGTGTTTGACACCCCAGAAAGATCACATTCTAATTTGATCTGACATGTATATTCTCTGTAGGATTGACTTGGAAATTTTATCTATCTTGTGGCAATGTGACAAGTGCCATTCCACAAGGCTTTATGCAGTATTAGCTGGACCAAATCTGTGTACCTCTGTGTCTGTGGTGAAGACTAAATAGTACAAACCGATGTAAGCCACTTGCACACTTTCTAAACACAGTAGCTGAGGACAAAATGCATCAAATGCTAAAATAGATTAACATTTGCTTTACAGGCCTACAATAAAATGCTAAGTACGGTAGTCTTGTGTTCAGAGATTGCTTATGACATATATCCTCCTCCTGAAGTTGAGCAATGCCCTTGTCTTCTCTGTCAAAAAGAGAGCATAGTTCCTAGAGGTTTGGTACTTCTCTCATGACAGTTTGCTGGAAGCCCTTTGCTGGGCAGAGACCTTATCAAGCCAGCCTGAACATTAGGACACTCTACAAAGTATTTTGGGCTTAAACCCCTCTGGAGAAGAGAGAAAAACTGATATTTGCTCACCTTCAGATCAGGTGTCTGAAAACTGAGAAGCTGGTGGACATAGGTTCTTGTCACTGCAGATTCGGATGATGTAATCCCAAATGTTTTTCCCAGGGAAATTTGTCTATTAGACCTCCCATTGAGATGGCCAACATGAAAATCTCTGCAAATTCAGTATTTGATGAGAAGAAGAAAGGCAGAAGAGTTGGTCAGATCTAGCCACGAGGAAACTCTCAGTATTTTAAGAAATAAAAAGAATTGCATAATTGTGGCAAAGATAAGGTTGTTGCCAGATGAACCTAATTTCACAAACAATATGTGAAATAGATGAAGGTGATGGGAGCAATTAGCAAAGAGTCAGCATAGAATCCAGAAGAGAAAACAGGGTAGGAAACCACTGCAGCCAATTAGCTGGCTGAAAAATCAGGAGATTAATCTGAGTAAATAGTCAGCCAGTTCCCCTGGGCCACTACAACATTTAACAACAGTATCAGGTCTTCACCGATCATGGAAAGCATTCAGCAGAGAGTTACTCAATTGCCTAGTCCTGAACAATGGTCTACTGTTGATGAAATGATGATGAAAATGGAATTTTGTCCATTATGGAAAATAGGACAGTGAAAGACACAGAATGGCCTAATAAAGAGAGGAATGGACCAGCTATCAAAGCTTTTATTTTTATTTCCTCTTCTGCAGGGTGACAGCAGAGGACTCATGCTCTGCCTCAGTTTCCCCACAAGATGCACTCTTAATCACAAGAATAATCCCCACTAATCTGGTTTGAAAAGTGAAAAAGTCTCTGAATAAACATACCAAAAAGATATAATAAGGTTCTTGCAAACAAAATCAGTTCACAAACCCTTCTTTGTAGAAGATATTCTAAAAGTTATGGGACCAAAGAGAATGGAAAACGACTATCATACATGTGAATTAAGCTCTTTGAGGGTAGATGCAGGCAAATCACAGTAGCATGGACCTCTCCACTTGCTATTTAATCTCCGAGGAATGCACGTCCTGCAGAGCAACCCCCTGTGCAGACTTAGGCAAATTCCAGGAACAGGTTTTAAGACTGTCTTGAACATGCAGATGACTATTTACACTACTTCCCAATATCCTTAGCATGGAGGTGTGCAAGACTTCTCAAAAGTAGGTGGAGGTTTTTCTAGAGAACACTTCCCTCTAGCAATTGCTGACAGAGGAACAGTCTGTGACACTGTTGCAAGGTAGAGGAAAGGACAGCAACCATAGCTATTATTTGCTGCTATTAACAATGCAGGTGATGTGTGGAAAGATAATGGAAAGGCAATGCCGTCTCAGTGCCTTGCCTCCAAGTGCTTAGCCTGAAAATCCAGCCTGATGTTCATATAGTGTTCTCAACCTGTATTCTGCTAACTCCTGTGATTAAATAGTTGTGTTTAAGATTATAACTGGTTTTAAGTTGTACAGTTTAACACTAAGCATTAGAACTGACAAATGCCATTCCCCATTGAGCAAGGAACTGAACCTAAACCTCAGGGCTGAAAGCTGGAAGAGCACCCAACAGCTGTGAAGGGGAGGTAAGCCCAAAAAGTAGAGTATTTTATTAATATCTGGGGAAGAAAAAAGGGAGAAAAGGAAAAGGGAGTACTATAGGGCCTAAAACACTAATTTTACACAGGCTATGCTTTTGTGCTTGGTGTGTGGGCAGATCCTCCTAACAAATACCTTCCAGCATGGCACGAGTCTTGCCTCCTAGGGGGAAAACAGGGAGAATTCTGTGCTAAAATATTTCTTGTGAACGGCATAGTGGTTCCTAGGAGCTGAAGGGCAGGAGAGGATACTGTGGAAGTTTCCCCTGTGATAGAGGATGGCAGTAGTTTTCAATACCACATGTGGTTTTGCTATGAGCTGAAGTGGCACCAGCTATGTAAAGCTTCTATGAACATGGAGCTAGTAAAGAAAGGAAGGCTCAGGAACTGACCCCTTGGACTCTGGAGGACCCAGACCTCAACAGACTGATACATGAAGAAATACATTACCTGTAGACCTAGTCTTCACTGAGGACTGTGAAATGTGACCATTTATACATTACTACATTAATGTGATACTATACTTACCTATGCAGTTGGCTTTTCTCTTTCCCTCTTTAATGAAGAGTTGCTACACTTGGGAATGGGGAAAATTAGCTCATGAGGTATTGAAAAGTTTTTCCCAGGTTTCAGGCTTGAAGATGTTGTTTTATCAACAGCCCTTGATAACTTTGAACTAATCCTTGTGACTGCCAAACAAGTCCTGACACAAGTTAGACTAAGAATAATTTTATGCAAGATTGGACCAGATGATCTCTAGAGATCTTTTCCAATCTAGACTTTTTTATGATGATATAAATGGATGATTATTTTTTTTAATAGCTGCTTAACTTAGAGGCAGAGCCATGTGAATAACTGATCTTTTGGTTAGCTGGATGAACAGAAGGTCGAGGAGGGAGACACAGTGTTGGGAAACAAAATTTTCCAACTCTCAGCAAGATTTCCTTTCTCATTACAGAAACACTTAGCAACATATCAAGGCATTGCATTCCAGGAGAAATGTCACAATTTCTAGTCCTTTCACAAAGATTATATTCAGTTAGGCTTTTTTGAACAAAATGCTACTTAGGATGAAAAATCAAAATGTTTAAAAACGCATTTCAGGCTTTTAAAAAAATGTGTTGTTTTCTTGAGGGAACTATTCATGAATTTCTGAAGAGGCAACTGAAAGCATGGATAGTCTCCAGCGAGCCTGACTTCATTTTTTGCCAGATAGACTATTTCATTAAAAAACAATCAATCCCTTTGTCTGCTTAATCACTGTTCTGACAGGCTGCAAAGGAAAGACGAAGAATTCTTGCTCCGTGTAGCATTGCACAGAGTCACATGAAGGCTAAATGGAAAGCCAAACCTAATTTTGCAAGAAGCCATTAGGAGCCGTGGGCTCTCCAGTCCCACAAGGATAAAATCTTAACACAACAAGGTCCAACATTTTAGAAGTGAATGCCTGAAGGTCTGCTCACCAGGCTGCACCTCCCCGTTTAAATACCTGAGCTGGCACACAAGAGTACTTAGCAAGCAGCATTGCAACTCACAAGTTTGACAGAAAACACTGGGTGATCAGGGCTGTTCAAAGCCAGACTAGTTATTTTAGTACCTTGGAGGTCTCAGCCCTTGGATGCATATTTGCATATTCATGCATGCACACAGTCCACTAGAAGTTAATGAGACCACGCATTCCAATAAGGTAAATTTTTAAATGGGTATTTAGGGAAGATTTTGAGTGTGACTTTAGGAATTTTTGGTTTTAAGCTAAATCTTTGCCCAAGATTTTCCTCACAGTTCTCAAGATGCCTTTAAATTCTTTTTCTCACCTTCTTCCTCACTGCATTACTAAGTAAAAATAACCATTTTTCATAACATCCAGAAATAATAATAATTCAAAATGGAGTAATTAAATAATAAGTTAAAAGATATCAAACTTCTGCAAAAGGAAAACTAACATCAAGTGAATATTCCTATAGTTTGGATAAACCAAAATAATAAACAGAAATTGCTTCCTGAAGCAGCAACTCTTTTGGATGCTGCATCAAAACTGAGCTGAAAAGCCAGGTTTGCTCCCCTGGATAAGCCGAATGAACAGGACCCTGTTCCAAGTATCTGAGCAAAACTGGCCGAAAAAAAAAAATGAAAGATGAAGCAGAGGCAAGATGCCGATTGACTGAGGGCGTATGGGAGACCTAAGGACAACAATTAATCATGGATCTGTAAGCTGTTTAAAACTACTCAATGCTCGGGAGCCAGTGAGGGAGCAGCATCTGTGTGCTCAGACTGGCTGCAGTTCCTCAAAAACGCAACTCAATCCAAATTAGGGGGAAGCACTGCCATGAGCACTGGTTCTCTGCACTCCCTCCCACTGGCAGAGAGCCCTGTACAACCTTCACCCCACCACAGGGAGTCATTTGAGTGTGGAGACAAAGCCTGGGTCTCTAAATATTTAGACAATCCACGTTTTTGGCAGCATGTTGGATTTCCTACCCAGGGTTTGCACTGATGCCTGCTTGGACATGTCGGGATGGGAACGCCCAGCACAGGCCACAGAGTGTGCAGGTTGGATGGGGAACACAACCACTGTCGCTGCGTTTGAGGCTAATCAGGTTTGATGTCTCACCTCTTGGTTTAGCATGGGCTTGCAGCCCGAGTTTTTGTTGGTGAGCTGCAAGGGTGCTATCTGGCTTGTCATGTCTAATAACTTTCTCTTCTGAAGGCTGATATGCTGAAAGATCTGTGCTGCTGATGTTAAAAGCTGGATTTTCAATGCCTTCTGTTGCTGCTCTCTCTTCTTTTACTACAGAAAACAAGGAGGTCAGAAGAGCATGTTATAGCAAAGTGTATTTCAATGACAAGCAGAAAATTCCTTCTAGTAATTCCTTAGCTGAAAGACTCAAGTGTATCGTCCTCAAATGTCGCCAAAACAGAATTAGGTTAAAATTAACTCAAAAAAAAAAAAAGAATAAATGATTAAAATAATTACAAATTGCACCCTGACAAGCAAGAGCAAAATTTCGCCCACAGCCATTTGTCTGTAATTAGTTAATTAATCCTTACACAAATTATGAGCAATAACTCATCAAGCAAGGCTCACCCATCAGAAATTCAGCCGACTTGGATTTCTTCTGCTTAGTTTGCTTCAGAGCCTTCTGCTGGAACTTCTGGAGGGAAATTGTTAAATGAATAAATTAGCTAAAGAACGAAGATCATCCTTTATGGTCCACAACTAACACAGTATTTTAAATATGGGATGGCATTGAAATGTCATTTAATTTAAATCTCTGCTAAAGGGGTCAAACACTAATTGAACAACAGAAGTGGAAGAATTAAATAAAATAGAAGAAAAGTTAAAACAAATGCCAAATGAAGGTCACATTAAAATACTTTGTTTTCTCCAATTTTAATTAATGCAAAGAAACCTCAACAAATGAAGAACATTATAAGACTTGTCTTTCAGTATACATTCAAAAGCAACTGCTTTATTTTACTTGCAGAATGGCAGCATTTCATTTAGGAAAGTTTGGTTATGTAGCGTATTTATAGACAGGCTTCCCTGACATCCCCTGTTCTCCTCTTTTCTAAGTCCACTTACGTAACCAGTTTATTTGTTCATCATAGAGCAGCTAAAAATGAATGAGCTCTACCCTTTAGTACAACGCAATAGAATAAAAATAACACCAAAACTATTTTAAATGAGGTGTCACAAAAAACTGATCATGGTCCAGGGGAGAGAAGAAGCAAGACTCATTACAGCAATGAAAAGTTCATTTAATATTAGAAAGATGCAATGACAGTGAAATTAAATAGCAGGAGATCTTGGGGGACCTGAACTGTGAAAAGTTTTACAGTAATTCCCGTGGGGAAACAAGGCTCAAAAAATATATAGTCATATTACCCTAAGGAAGGCCCAGATACTAAGCACTGGCTTTGTAGAATACCTTGAGCAGCACTGGGCAAGCATCACACGTGGTCTCATACATGGCTACAGACCCCTATCACAGATGCTGACAATCAAAACAGGCAAAGATTATCAAACCAAAGCACATCTGGGAGTATTCATCAAAGCCAAAACCAAAGTAAGAAAACAGTTCAGACCCATTTATTTTAGAACATCACATGGTAGTTTCCAAAATCAGCATTATTTTTTCAAGCCAGTTGCTTAATTGTTCAGTGATAAAGACCACTCCTGGCAACATAGTTCCTGGAAACTGTCAATACAAAAGGATTAATTACAAGAATACTTGAAAAATTGCATTTTTGCAGCATCCATCTTTCCCATTTGATTGTGGGTGTCAATTTCCAGTAGAAAAACAGTGCTTGCAGCAGATACAATCAATAAATCTGTCAAAAATAACTGGACCATACCACTGACAGATTAATATAGATATTAATATTTTCATTGTTATACATGTATATATGCAGACGGACATATATGTTATTTTGGAAATATATTCTTCTAAATTCTAAATTAAGACTTCCTCTAAATTAAGACTAATATCCTACTAAAAAGCAAATGTGTGAAAACGACCAGAAACACTCTGAAAGCTACAATAAATAAATACAATAAGAGAAATAATTCCTACAAACCACATGCAGAACAACTGAAGTTAATGATAATTTTGACATGAGTTCAATAGATTCAGAAATTTACCCTACTGCTTCTGATTTTTTCACAACTGAAAAATCATTCAAAAATACATATTCATTCAGTTAGTATCTTTAAAATGATACCTGTTTTGCAATATTAAAGCATTGGTGCATTCCTGCATGCCATAAAATTTTAATTTAGTCACTTTTAAAGATTCCAGAGTATTTGTAACACTGCAGTGTGATAATTATCCTTATTATGCTGTGAATAATCATCACAAAAAAACCTTAAAATTTAAGTTAACAGCTAAAGAAAACAATATCAAGACAAAAATTCTGGGACAAATTTTCAATGATATAAAACAGTACACATCTGTAACTTTGATGGAATTAAGATTATCTGTATTATATTCCATGTATTCTTTTTCCATGTCAGATTTCCCTAGCAAAACTAATTGCACACTATATTGACTATAGTCAGTTTTCAACTGTTTCAGTCTGTAAAATGCACAAGCTCCTTTCACAGTAAAAAGAAGAAAAAAAATATATTCTTCCTCCCCACATACAATACAGATGTGTAGTGGGGTTTGATGTTTTGGAATGGGTTTGTGTAGGTCTGTGTTTTGGGCATTTTATTGTTCAGGGTTTTGTTTTGGCATTTTTGTTTGTTTGTTTGGGAGGGGGAAGGTTGTTTGGGTATTGGATTTGGGGGGATTTTTTTTTTGCTATTCAATACGGTTAACACCAAATTTTGTTTTTTCAGTGACGCAACTGACTACATTCACTTCAGTCAAATGCAAACTAATATTTTTAAGTAGTTGGTGTAACAGGCTTATGATCCCTACTTACTACAAAGAGATTATACCCTTGTCCCTTAATGCAATCAGGTTTTTAAAATGTATTTTTCATGAGTTTATGTTTTAGAATGAAAGCAATACCTGGTTTTCAACTACAGAGAGGAATTCTTCCAGGATTGCTTCTCAACATAACTGAATAACAGAGTATTTGACTGGTGGCCTTTGTGTAATCAACACGTGTTCTTGTCACTTTGTGCTTCAGAGGAAATTAGAAGACATTTTCCTTTCATACCTATTTCCAGCCAATTTCCTCATCCTTCTCTCTTTTACACATGAGCAACTTTAAGCAGTGTAAATAACATTCTTTCCCCCCTTTTTACTTTAGGTTTCCTTCCCCAGCCCCCTACCATTATGATACTTTGTCTTCTCATCAGAGAATAGGCAGGAAATTATCCAGTGGCACTTTATTTCATCATTAGTCACTACTTGTTAGTTTATGTATTTATGCAAATTTATGTCAAAAGCAAATGTTTTTTAAGCAGTTCACACATATCTGCAAAACTTAGGTTTCCAATAGTGAATTAAATAAACTCTTTCAGTGACCACTTGCTCTTTGCAGGCAAAGTCCAGTTATGTGAGCATACCTAGACAAATGCACGTGAACACACATCCATATAGAAAGTCTCCATTCTAATTATAGAATATTATCTGAAAATAAACATAAAAAAAAGTATTCCTAGAAAAAAAAAAAAAAAGAAGTTTCACAACTTGAGGCCAGAGCCTCAAGAGATATGAAGGCTATGCTGGTTTACACCTGAGGTGGAGGGGGTACAACTTGCATCCACAAACCAAACATATCAGACCTGTCCATTCACAACTAGCACAAAGGGGACGTCCTTTGCTTGCAAAGTCAAGTTTAAAAGGTGATGTTGCTGCTGATAGCAATTCATCCTATCTCGAATCTCTATCACAGTTGCTGAAAAATAAAAAGTCTTGCCTTTTAACTATTTTTTTTACTGTCTTTTTATCTTGAGTGTGCTGCATTACAGCAAAGACAAGGGGAGTTAGGAGTGTCTGAGCACAGTGCAGACTAGTAACCATGTCATTCAAAAAGTGACCTAAATCGTTAAATGCTTTTTTTTGCACACCATCATCATTAAAACGCACCGCCTGCTTTCTGATACTGACTGAAACAAAGGAAAATCGGGAGTACCAGAACCTGCAGCACTCACATCTGCAGGAGAGCAGCGAGCACCGCAACAACAGCAGCAGCAGCAGCAGCAGCAATGGTGAGGGAAAAAACCCTCATTTATAACCAGTGACAACTAAAACCTATGAAGTTTTTAAAAGAATGTGATTGTTGTCAAAAGGAATTGGGTACAACAATGCTGCGTTCAGCTCTGGTTCCACTCAAAGCCGTGGCTGAGGGGCTCTGGGAAAGCTGCTGGAAGGCTGGTGGGCACAGACCAGCAAGAAAGTGAATTTTGCATACTGTACGGATCATCGCTCAGTTCAGGGCAGTCATATTGAATCTGTGATCAACCAATTGTGCTTCATGAAACCGTCAGCCCTCATTTATGTCTAGCTGTTTTCTTCTGTCCTGCTGTAAACAAGCTCTGCTCTGAGCTGTCTCCCTACCCTTATCTGCTTACGAAGATCACACAGACAGACCTCATCAGCAGCCTTAGAGTTAAAGTTAAAGTTACTGCTTCCAGACAGCAGTCCCCATGCAAGCTGGAAGTCAAAAAGAAGAGCAACTTTGGAATGACAGAGTTTTAGTTCCTTTTAGGAAATGCATACCTTAGATTCATACACATACTGGCATGTTATGTCTCTTTCATGAAATTAAATTAGGTGTTCCTAATATGAACAACTGTTTCTAACATCAGCAAACTAGCTCAGCAGATTCATCTATGCTTTTGTTTGTAGGTTGGTTGTCTTGCTGTTGGTTGTTGGGGTTTTTTTGGTGGTTTTTTTTTTTTGTTTGGTTTGGTGGGTTTTTTTTTTTGTTGTTGTTTTTTTCCTTTGAGGCCTTGTTTGAACACAACCAAAAGACAAGTATCTGGAAATATTGTCAATCTGGTAGGGCTCCAAGAACCTAATAATTCCTGAAATGCTCTAAGGAGTGTAATGATGGTAAACAGGAACAGGTATGTTGGCTTCTGTTCTCATTCACTTCAGTGAGAGCATTAGCCTTTCAACATAAAGCAGAACACAGTTTTCAAAGAATGATCCTCTTGAATAAAAAGGGATGGAGCCTTACTAAACACATATTCCTCTGTGAACACACACACACAAATGCCTTAGTTTCTATTTACAGCATTTAATTCTTGCAACCAGCTGCTAAGTCCCTGTTAAGTCTTTCCTTTATGCAGCTGGAGCTGAATGCTCTTCCCTTCTCCTAGACTATTACTTTGTCTATTTAAGGGATGGCAGCCAAAGAGAAACAGCTTGTAATTTGCACCTGTCAGCTTTAAGCACTCCATGTTAGATTTTGCAGAGAGCAAACTCTTCATTGCTAAAGAGAATGACACTTCTTAGGGTCAAAAATGGTTTTTGAGCTGACTCTGCAGCAATTAATAAATAAACAAATAAACCTCCACTTTGTTTAAGCCTATTCTAGCTAGACAATAAGGCAAAAGGAAAACCCTGTTGTAAAAGAGCACCTCAGTGTGTAGGTAGAAGATGTAACCCCATGTCTCTAGTCTAATATAATACCAGGCACGGCTAAACATGATTGAACCTGTATGCTGGCCACACAGGAGCACATGGGAGAGCTTTGGCTTCTTCCCCTATAAAATTCAGAATTGTTTCAGAAAACAATCAGGTGCAAAGAGTCCTTCTGAATTTCTACAAACTGGGGTGCCTTTTGAGGACTCACAGTAAGCTTTGCCACCTAGAGGGTCAGGCCTGTGAGAAAATTATTTTCATACAACTAAAAAGAAATATAAGCTCCACTCCTGATCCAGAGATGTGAAAGCATTGCTATGCAGAGTCCCAGTAGCTGGAGTGTAAAGCAGTGAAGGTGTACATCAAGGAAGTAACCCACGTATGATCTTTCAGTCATACACAAACTATCTTAGCATGTTTGCTTCTTGCTAGAAAACAAGTGCTTTCAGTCAACTGCAGTATCATTTACAATTGCATTTAAAGAAACAACAATCTCACTGGTGTATTCATTTAGTTACTGAGAAGTAGGCTTTTCATTGCTTGCTCTTAAAATAGAAAAGCCCTCAAAAAACTCAAGCTGCAGAGCTGATGACAAGAACAAAAATGCCAGGGGTGAAAAAAAACCTAGAAGGGAAATAAAGTAAAACACACAATTTATTAAAGAAAACATTGGTGCTGCATTTTGATTTCATAAATTGTCCCCATTTGTACTTCCTGTTTAAACAATAACTAACATGATGATGGGTTAAATGAAGTTGAGATTGTCACAAACATGGCCTCACTAGTAATTAATGTAGTTTAATATGGTTGTTGGCACACATCTCACATGACAGATAATGTTCCAACATGTCACTGATAGGACCTTTCAGCACAGCTTTAGGAGATCTACCAGGCATTGCCGAGGTTGGTTGGGTCAAAGGGTTGAACCATGTGTAATTCAGAACAGAAGAGGTCCCACGGTCACTCCACAAAAACAATTACACTACTTATTTCACTCCATCCCTTGCCCGAAATTCACAAGCCTCACAGTTTCAGCGCAGTCAATCTCACTCTGCCCTGGGGCTATGAGCCACATGAAAATATGTGCTGCTGTGTTTATAAATCTAATCAAAAATAGAAACAGTAGACAAGCACAATGAGGTCCTACTATGGATCATGGGAATTCTCTAAATTCTGAAGGCACTTTTGTTTAACTTCTCTGGGCCTTCTCCTACCATTACATTGTCTGGTACTCTCGTTAATCATCCCCTTGACTTGTCAATGATATAAAGGAGCCTATACGTCTGCTGACTTCCCTCCCATCACACTACAAATAATATTATGAAATAGCAATGGTAGGAATAGTCCCTTTAACTTTTCCTTTTCAAAGCGTGGTTTTTCTTCACTTACCTCTTTCTCCATGCCAGTCTGCCCTTTCTCAGACCTGCAGCAAAAAATGCTTCCTCCTGCAACAAAGGAAAGGCAGCATATCTGAATTTTCAGTCTGCATAGTTATTAATACCACTAGGTTTAACAGACAGACTAGCAGAGCACTAGCCTAGAAACCTGCCAGGATAGGAGGCGGAGGGGGGTCCTTCCTGATGCTGTCCCTACTCTGACCTTGCCAAAGAGCAAAGGGAGGATATAGAGCTGTTTCATCACTTTATCTTTTTGAAAACAAATTTGCATCAGATCATGAAAAAAAAAAGTGAACAAATATAAACAAAAAACCCACATAATTTAAGCTCATATGAAGAACTCCAACAAAAACAAGGTTTTGAGTGGAAGTAGCCCAGAAGTAGATAATTCCTACCCCCAGACAGTAAGTATTAAAATGACTCAGAGTTTGCTGTTGCATACACCTTATCTGAAGACTACAGTACCAAAGCTGTCAGACTCAGGAAGGCTTCTGTGATCTGGTATTTCCCTGGGTCCCATTTGTGCCTCATTCCTTGTGCTGTGATTTCCATTAAAAGGAAGAAAATTGTCCTCTACTTTGAGGTTATAATTAAGCAAACACACAATAACTTTACAAGTTATATATCATATCAGCAAAAATGCCTCAATTTTATACCAGCTACTTTTTTCTCTATATGGGAATAAAATTTATTCATTCAAAATGGCTGGACAGGTTGCCCCTGCATTCACTCAAATCAATGGCAACACAGTCTGACTCTGCACTTGCAGCACCTGAATCACAATGTATAACAAGCTTCTTCTTTTGCCAGCTTTTCCTTTATGCATTTACACAAACATATATTCAGATTATTTTGCTGAGCCTGAAAACAAAACAAGATATGAAACAATTAAAAATATCCCTTCAGAGTCACTCAGAAGCTCTAGCTGACCTTCTGGGTCAGAAGATGCCCTGTACAGAGTACATGTTTGGCCCCAGTTGAGGAAACCCTCTCTCCTGAGGGCACCCAGCAAAGAAGTGCCTAATTCTGAGTACACACTGAAATTTCATTGAAATCAATACAATGGACAGTGGACAGGGCCACAAATACTCCATGGAAAAAGGCTGCATTGTCGCTCTAGCTGCTCAGTAATGAATGAAGATCTGAGCTTTTGCTGATGCTGAGAGCCTGCTGACCTTTGCCATCACTCCTCGATTTTGGTGCCCTTCTTGGGGTGCCAAGGCCATTGAAGCAATGCTGGGGGCTGCAATTCCAGCAGCTCCCATTCTTCCTACAGCCAGCCCTGCCCAAACAGCCCCTGCACCATAGCCCATGTCTGTCACAAAAAACATGCTCTCTGCTCCATGGCATTATGTGATATTAAAAATAAAACCCCAGCAAGACCATGCAGGTAGGCTCAGGTCATGTAACTAGTCATTGTGTCTCTGAAAACAACCCCAGAGTCCCAATTCCAAAATCTGGGATGAGTTTCCAGGACAAGGTAGTATCTGCTTTACTTTTCCAGCTACTGGAACTGTACATCCACTGAATGCAACAGGTAACTAATTTCAAGCCCAATGGCATGGCATATTCCTTGTTATGACTCAAACAAGAGCAGCAAAAGGGAACCATCTGAATGAATCAAAGGCAATAAAAGTTTGAAGGGGCTCCTTCCCTTTTCAAAGGACAATTGCAAGAAGTTGTCAGCAGAAGAGAACTGATCAAGAGATAAGCTGTAAATTCAATGTTTTCATCCATGGTCAACCTCTGCTCATTGGAGAGGAGACAAAGATGCAACAACAAGAACTTCCAAAGTCGTAATAGTCAAAGGAATCTAAACATTAACGGAAAGACTTGGAGTTTCATCTTAAAGAATGTGGTTGACCAAACAAGGACAGCACAGACAAAGATCACAGAATCACAGAACCAATTAGATTAGAAAAGACCTTTGAGATCATCTAGTAAGATAGATAAACAATTAGTTCAGAGGAGATATTAATAACATTAGTGCCTAAACAGTGATTTTCTTAGAGTTCGGGAACTTCCTATTATTTGGGTTTTCTGGGATTTTTTTTCGTTAGTGTGCTTGGGTGGGGGACACTTTGGTGTGTTTTTTAAATGAAGGTGCTAGACATCGTTTTTTCTTTATTCTTTATAATACCAAACAGGCAACACATTCAACACTGCATTAACTGATGTTGACTGTGGTCTTACTTAACCTCACCAGCCTATTTTCTTTAGCTGGATAACAGCTGAATCATTAGCATTAAACTAGCTTGCAGTCCTGAAAGAGTACAGCAGAAACAGAGTACATGATTTTTCCATCAATCAAAACACGACATAAAAGATATTTGAGATCCCACCAGATATTTTATTTTATACCCAGTTGATGTGGTTTGCATGATTAAGGGTTGGACTTCAGTTACTTTTAGGTACATTTGTAGTAAAATGGCAAAGTAAAACTATTACTTAGACATTCTTAAAGCGGATACCTTCACCTTTTTTTAAAATTTTTTTTTTGCCCAATTATGCTTTATTTTCTACTAGAGGAAAAATTAAGGATGCTAGATTAAGTTGACAAGATATATTAATAACTTTTTGTAGTGAAAGTAATCTATTTTTAATACAAAAATGGAGGAATTGGAGAACTGAACAAAAATAACTCTTAGCGCCACAACTCCATTAACAAGCTCCCACCACCAGTCCCACATCCAGAAGAGATCAAAATAACACACCTTTCCACTGGAGCATGCTCAAGTGCATCTTTCTCACAGTAGTGGATATTTTATGCTATATCAGCTACTAGAAATGACTTGGACTGCATGAAAATCCAGTATACAATAAGGGTCTTGCAAATGTAGCTGTAAAATATACTGTTTTCACCATGCTGGTACGCAGAGGGGAAAAACTGTCCTGTTTGTAACCACGTACCCAGCATCTCCTTAAAGTACACCCAAAGGCACAGGCACATTATCGCTGACCAAGGAAAGCAATGCCAGGCTCAGTTAAGGTGATGGTGATTGCTGGCAGAGAAATACCAGGTTCATAGCAGAAGTAGCAAAGCAACAGTCTGTCATCATGGTGGCTGTCTTCGCTCCTTTCTCACCTTCACCTGGTACGCAATTTATCACATGATAAGAAGCAGTGCTGTGGGATCTCTGTGCTACAATATCAGCAGAAACCACTGAGTAAATGATAACCCTAACAACCTATTTGTAATTCCCTTTGGACTCTCTCATAAATACCAGGTAGTCAGCACTGGTCTTTAAGAAGTATTTCTTCAGGGGAAAATTGCACCTCCAGTGCAGAGAATCCATCAGTCACTTAAATTCAGCAGGACTGACCTTTGAAGACACAAGCACTGTGCTTATCCTTCTTTCATCATCAATTTTGGGAGCAGGTCCTTCAAAGTAACCTCAGATCCATTCTATACTTTCCCTTTTTTTATTTTTTTTTTTAATTTAAAAAGTAAGAAGCTTACTGCAAATATGTCTTTATAAAGATCATTAACACACTCAAAATTAAGATCACATTCAATTATTTGATAGGTTGTGATGTTCCTAGCTTTTTTCTGTGTGCCTGAAAAAATAGATAGATACATGATTTTTCTATTGATAAACCTCAGTAGGCAGCTAAGCATCACTTGCCTGCTCACTCACTCTCTCTTCCAGTGGAATAGGGGAGAGAATCAGGAGGGTAAAAGTACAAAAACTCAGATACAGACAGTTTGAAATCATAAAATGTTTTGGGTTGGAAGGATCTTTAAAGATCCTCTAGTTTCAATCCCCCTGCCATGGACAGGGACGCTTTTCCTAGACTAGGTTGCTCAGAGCCCCATCCAACCTGGCCTTGAACACTTGCAGGGATGGGGGATCCACAGCTTCTTTGTGCAACCTGTTTCAGCGTCTCACCACCCTCAGAGTAAAGAATTTCTTTTTAATACCTAATCTAAACCTACTCTACTTCAGTTTGAAGCCATTCCCATTTGTCCTGTCACTACATGCTCTTGTAAATAGTCTCTCTCCATCTTTCTTCTAGAGTCTCTTCAGGTACTGGAAAGTTGCAGATAGAACACCTTGAAGCCTTCTCTTTTCCAGGCTGAACAAACTCAATTCTCTCAGCCTTTCCTCATAAGAGAGGTGCTCCATTGCTCTAATCATCTTGGTGACCCGCCTCTGGACTTGATCCAACAGGCCAGTGTCCTTCTGTGCTTAGGTCTCCAGAGCTGGATGCAGCAGTCCAGGCGGGGTCTTATGAGAGTAGAATAGAGGGGCAGAATCACTTCCAGTGACCTGCTGGTCATGCCTCGTTTGATGCAGCCCAAGATACAGTTGATATCCTGGGCTGCCAGAATTTATTTTTTTAAAGAAGGAACAAAAAAAAAAAGCGGGGGGGGAGGGGCGGGGGGAGGTGGGGAAGGAGAGGGAGAGGAATGAAACCACAAGAAAAAAGTGATGCAAAAGAAAACAATTGCTCACCACCAACTGACTGATATCCAGCCAGTCCCCAAGTGGCTTTCACCCACACCCCTCACTTCAGTTTTATTGCTGGACATGACACCATATGTTATGGAATATTCCTTTGATCAGCTGGGGTCAGCTGTTCCAACTCTTTCCCCTCCTAACCTCTTGCATAGCCCCAGCCCACTCACTGATGGGGTGGTGTGAGAAGCAGAGAAGGTCTTGACACTCTGTAAGCACAGCTCACCAATAGATAAAACATCCCGGTTATCAACACTCCTATCACAAACCCAAAATATAGCCCCATAAAAGTTACTATAATGAAATTTAATCTCAGCCAAAACCAGTACATCATGTCATGCTGGTAATTCCTGTGGAAGTTGCAAATACCAAATTTTAGTTTCTGTGTCACCATTCCAATATTCCCATTCCCACCAAATTGAAAGCACCACACACTTCAGAGTCTAGCTTCAGAGCTGCTTATGGATAATCATCTCCTGATGAAGTCCCAGGGCTCATGTTTGAGAGTATTGAAATTTTTAGTGATCATCATCTGACAGTACTGGGAAAGGAGCAAAACCAGCCCCAGCCTGGACAAAAGGCTTTCCA